AGTGGCCTGATTGGACTATGACAGGAGGTTCAGAAGCGGTTATTAATTTCAGAGGATTGAAGAAAGGCTTCATGAGACGCTGCCCTCAAGGACAGAATTCCCACTAGGGATATGCAGGTGATTTTTGCTCAAATGATGACTAACTTGAACTCTTCTGGACCCAAGGTAAACAGAGATGCAGCAGTAGTTGCAATCTGCATGGGTTTTTGGGCTTGATTTCCCACTAGTCAACCCACATTCAGATTAGCCTGAGAACTACATCATCTTTTGAAGCCTGAACTGAGAAGTTGTGAATGGATTATACTCTGTAAGATCAGAATGTGCCCATCTTTCCCTATATGCATACTTTATCCTCTGATGTTCTTGAGCGAGGCAGTGTGCCACCATGGCCACCAACCCTCCTAGGAGGTTGGTGACCATAGCTCATCAGTAGGTAGATTTTAATATTCATTCTTCATAAACTTTTTGGGAGGATTACCAGGAACCTTAGAGTCAGGAGGATTATATTCCCAAGAATGCTTAGCTCAGTCTATTCTCGTAGGCTGTTTACTATAGGCACAATTACTTGCTTTTGGTGAATGAGGTGACAAACAGATCAATTTGGCTAGAGAAACACAGTATAATCCAGAAAATTACACTTACCTCTCACTGCCTTAAAATTATTCAGTGTTCTCAGTAGTTAGAGTGTCAGCTCGTGCACCCAAGGGTCACAGGTTCGATCCCGGACCCCAGGCGGGGTGCGTGTGGGAGGCAACCAATTGCTGTCTCTCTCGCATCCATGTTTCTCTCTTTCTCTCCCCTTTCCTCCTTACCTTCCATTCTCTCTAAAAATCAATGGAAAAAATATCCTCAGATGAGGATTAACAACAACAAAAAGAAATTATTCAGTGCGCATGTATTAGTTCCAATTGAGAAATATAAAAACCAGACAATTCTAAAATCAGAGTTACGGTGTGTGTGTATGTTTTTCCCATCCAAACTGATCACTCCAGAGATAAAAACAGGAATAATCCTTCAGTAAAATTGAGGAGTTGAGAAAATTAACCTGCCTTGACTATTGAAAAGGAAAGGTAACAGCCCTAACCGGTTTGGCTCAGTGGATAGAGCGTTGGCCTGCAGACTGAAGGGTCCAGGTTTGATTCCGATCAAGGGCAAGTACCTTGGTTGCGGGCACATCCCCAGTAGGGGGTGTGCAGGAGGCAGCTGATGGATGTTTCTCTCTCCTTGATGTTTCTAACTCTCTATCCCTCTCCCGTCCTCTCTGTAAAAAATCAATAAAATATATTAAAAATAATAATAAAAAGGAAAGGTAACAAAGGAAAGGAAAAAGAAAAAGGCCACTTTCTTAGTTGGTACCACAGTCATGGACAGCACGTAGTACTGTGAAAGAGAGTGACCGTAAGAAGAGGCCACAGAGCTGAGAAAAGAAAACACGCCTTTCGGGCGGTGACGACCTCCCCACGACAATATGCCTCTCGCTAAGGAGCTCCTCCATCCCTCTCCGGAAGAGAAGAGGAAGCACAAGCAGCAGCGCCTGGTGCAGAGCCCCAGTTCCTACTTCATGGCTGTGAAATGCCCAGGATGCTATAAAACCACCGCCATCTGTAGCCACACACGAACGGTAGTTTTGTGGGCTGGTTGCTCTACTGCTCTCTGTCCGCCAACAGGAGGAAAAGCAAGGCTTACAGAAGGATGCCCCTTCAGAAGGAAGCAGCACTAAAAGCACCTCAAATCAAGATGAGTGGGAAACCATCCCAATAAACACACTTTGGATAAAAGAAATAAAAAGAGAAAACACCTTTGGGGTCTCAGGAGAGTCACAGTGCCAGCTGCTTCAGAGAAATGTACCTACGAGCAAAGAGCAAAAGACTCCCCAGGCTCTTCCTGGCAGAGCTGTATGTGCTATGACAGCCACAGAACCAGTAAATGGTCACACCTTTAACAAAAAGCTCACAGGAAAGAGATCAAGCAGAGATGGTAGTGGGTGTGGGTGTAGTCAAGGGAAGAGATGAATGGTGCTCATGGATATCTGATGTTGGCAGGAGAGAGCATTAAAGGTGAAGTGTTAATATACTTGTTTTCATCCGACTTCAGCAGAAGACCAGATGTGATCTTCCTAAAGAATAGCTTTCCAACACATCCTGACAACTGCAGGGTGGGGAGGAAGCAAGTTGCACCCTGTTATGTGTAAATGAAAAACCATAAGGTAACAGACAATACTAAGCACACTCCCACCCTTCTTCAAACACAAAGACAGAGGAAAAGTCTAATGATTTGCCAAGAGACTATTTTTGGGGAGAACACACACACACACACACACACACACACACACACACACACACACACACACACACACGAGCAGCAGCAAAACCTTTTCTCCCATTTTCCAAAATGTGTAGCACTTAGAACTTAAAATTCCTATTAGTTAATCTATGTTGTAACTGTTTTAAAAGGGTCCTGCTTATAATACATTGATAAAAGGCTACATTTAAACATCATGAGAAGAAATGGAACATTGAACATTTTACACTATGCAACTTGTCTCCCTATCAAATTCGCGTTGGTCACCGGAGTGAAAAACACAATGTTCCCTGGGCATTTTTATTTTTTCACCCTTTTGCTTTTCTTTTTCCTGGGTACTCTGAGTCTGAAACTGAAAGGAAGGCTGTACGGACCAGGGAGGGCATCTTTCAAGAGGGTCTGGGAATAGATGGGACACCCGGGGAACTCAAGCCTGGAGGTATTCTGAGTTTGCAGCACCTAAAGCAACAGATTAGGGAGGAGGCGCAAAAACAGAGGGGCCATTTCTACCTTTAGGAATTCCCTGTCTACCAGGGGAAGGAAATAGGCAGTGTGGTCTTAGACATAGCTGGCAATTAGGAAGAGGTTCTAATTCTGACTGTCTTTGGCTGGCCATGTGATCTTAAAGGGTAGGAGGGGCCACTTGTCAAATGAAGTATTCACACCAAGGGATGACTCTTTGTAATAAAGAAAATAAGTGTGGTCAGCAATTTTCTAAGGATATTCCAATTTTTAAAAAGTCTGGTTAAATAAGTTTAGAAAAACTTTCCTTCCCTCCTCCCTCCCCCATAGCACCAGATTCACACTGCATTTAGTGTGTCAAAGGCTCCCAAAGCCTTGCTGTAAAGGAATCTTTTAAATCTGGCATTTCCCAACTTATTGTCTGAGATGACATTAACATCTGCAGAGCATGCTTTGGAAAATGATCTCTATACCCCTTCCAGCTCCAGAATCCTGCTGTTCATGATATTCTTCCTTGGAGACTCCACCACTTCCCCCCTTTCTGTTGTGTAGTCAGTCTTTCATCGAATCTTTGGGCTGAACCTAATGTACTATCCCATCACTTTCCCCTTCATGACCTCTATGTTATTTAAATGCTCGCATGGAACTAAAATAGGGTGTGCAGCATGGTGGCTCAGTGGTTGAGCGATTCCTATCAGGGCATATGCCCAGGTTGTGAGCTCAATCCCCAGTGTGGGGCATTCAGGAGGCAGCCAATTAATGGTTCTCTCTCATCATTGATATTTCTACCTCTCTCCCTCTCCTTTCCTCTCTGAAATCAATAAAAATATATTTTAAAAAAACAACAGGGTTGGACTAGATGACCTCTAAAATTTGTTCTAACACTGAAATTTTAAGATTTTTGGAAAATGATCACAAACATCCACTCAAGTATGAAACAGGACATACATAACCGGGCTGTTCCCATCACAGCACGAATGTTTACAAACTGAGACCTTTGAGATGAAATCCTGTATCCTGCCATTCTGTATACTAGTACTACCCTAAGCTCAATACTATAAACATTTCCTTGGTAACTTCCTTCTGCCCTTGGCTGATGCAAAAGGAGAAACGAGGGAGATGGTGTGGGAGTTCCCTAGACTCATCCTCGAGGTAACAGAGTTCAATGGGGATGCTTCCTGCCAAGTGTGCTCTCTGTTTTTCATGTAGGTAAAGGATTATAAAATGTCAGGGAACTATACATACTGCCCATACCTAACCACAAAAATATTTAATGCATGCGTTTCCAATTCAGCCAGGGTACCACCTGATTCCTGGCAGCGGCTGAGGCCTAGAGATGGCAGCAGAGCAAGATAAGAGGCAATTTGAGAATAACCGCAGAAGTCAACTATCCAATAGTCACACGGTTTAGTCAAATTCTAGTTCTCCAGTGTCTGATTGACATATCCTCTTTGTACTTTGCCCTGACCCTTCTTTAACACCCCCCTTTTTTACCCTCATTTCCATGCTAACAAAAGATTATTTAAAAAAACAACAGTAAAACATACTCAAATTAGTTTCTGCCATTGTGCCAAAGCCTTATTAGTAGCTGGAAAGACAGAAATATTAACTAACGTAATTAATCAAAGAGCAATTCACTAATTTCCCCTACTCCAGGCCTTCCAATGAAACCCCTGGGGTAGGTCCGACTCCACAGCAGTGCATGGGGGCACTGGCTGTGACACTGCACTGGCAACTTTTCTTTTCCTGTCTACTCTTCGCAGGAACACAGACCTGGGACGTGGGGTTTTGAACCAATGCCTTGGAGAGCAGGATGCTTCAGCCCGCAATAGAAACACAGCAAGGAAAAGAATGAATGTTTACATGTCACTGAGGGCTTCCATAGAACATGTTTAGTGTGAGAACTTTCAAAGGCTGACAGATGCAGTTTGACAGAATAAAATGTTAGATTCCTATGGCTTGCTTCACATATAAAGGAGTAGTTATTGGAAAAGAGTACACTTTGTAATTATGTTTTAAAACACAGTGACACTGGATTGTAAGTATAATTACTATTGAAAAGAAAGTTATGAACTAAGAAAAGGCTTTTGCAAAAGCTAATTTTAAAGTAAAAATAAAGCAAGATTTAATCCAAAACATTCTCATTTTAAGTTTAAATAACCCTGGGGAATCTAACTGGATTAAAATTGAATGATCTAACCAGTATTCAGAAGAATCATCATAGCATATACACAAAATAGAGAATAAAATTTTAATGGTATCAAAAACAAATTTTTGGCCAATTTAGTACTTGCTGGAATAAAGTTGTAAAATGTTACTCAGTAACTGACTTAGCTTCTAAAGCCAGAATCATACATATTCTGTATATTACTTGAGATTACACAAGTACATTACATGATAACATGCAGACATAGAAACAAGAAGAGTACCGTGAAATCAGAATTGCCATCTCTGTTGATGAAGTAATGAACTGAAAACAAAACACCTGTCCAGTAATCTGGAATATCTCATTTTGAAAAGGGAGTTTTGAATGTTGTTCCTTTCAAGGATTCAAATTCCATGTGGTTAAGTTTGATTTTGTTTTCTGACTATGAAAAAAGGGAGACATATATTCCTACAGTTATGGAAATATAATTTTCTTTTTACTCAATATTAAATGTTTGATAGACTTTCTTCTCAGGTAAAAAGGGCTCTTTGCACTCTAGTGGTTAAGAATGAATTCCTTAAAGCTCTTAGGCATTTGAGTGCCATACCACCCACAGCAACGTATGCTCAAGCACATTTAATAACAGTCATATGAGATGCGTTTAACTTTCCTGAGAACTAAGTTAGACCTAGGAAATAAGCGGGGTATGAAAATGACCTGAGTTCACAGGAATCTCTAAATTCAGAAGAGATTACTTCAGCTTTGCTAAGATCTCATCAAAAGCCTTTTAAAGCAAGGGTTTCTTAGTCACTTATTTGGTCATGGAGCCTTGGAATCTTTTTAAACATTAAAAAGGAGTGTTTTATGTTGTGCAAATTCAATGAAAGGCCAAAATAGACAAGAGGACTGATGGTGCTGAGTAAAACCTACAGGTAAGCCACAGATCCCACTGCCTTATAAAGAAAGAAGGCGAGATGTGCAATTGGCCAACTGTGCACCAGGCTAACGGTTTCTGGAAGCTAGAAAGATCCTTGTGCGGTAAGTGAAGACAGCACCTTAAGTGGAACCTAGTGGAAGCCACTCAGAAGTGAGGGATGGTTGTGGCAGAGACGGCTACTGATCCCCTCTAGGTGACTCTTCCTTTGTGTGTGAGAACCCAAGAACGTGTAAGACAAGCAGAGTAAAATATTAGCGTCAGCCATTTCTCCAAATTATGAATTGCAACTTCTGTTACTGTTTGCAAACTACTAAGAGGTAACCTGTGAATTATTAGTCACTGCTATCAAAGAATATGGTCTGGCTTCAATCTGAGCTCTTCTGATTTGCTCTGTTATCTAATTCAAGGCACTTTACATGTTTTGGTGCCTTAGTGTATTAACATGTAACATGAGAAAAACACTCATTTACTTACCTCGAGGAGCTACTACATAGATTACTGACTCTTAAAGCACTTTGAGCTCCTCAGATGAAAAGCACTGTGGAAATGATTAAGCTGAGGAAAACTCTTCTAATGCCTTGGAATTCTGATCTATTGTGCCTTATGTCTCAATCATGTTTTCTGAAACACTTTTAAAATAGAACCTGTTAGTGGCACTCTGTCCCTTTATATATGCTGTTTGGCACATAGATGTTTATATATTTAAAATAGTTGTCATACTCTTGATTCCAAAGAAGTTTACTAAATTTTCCAATAAAGTTAATGAAATGTACTCCTTGTGGAGTACTATGTTAAGTTTAGAAGACTTTAGTTTTCTCTGAGATACATGTGACATAATAAAAAGTTCTGTTTTTTTTTTCAAAATAATTCAACTAGTGTTATTTGTGTGAAACTACAAGTTTTTAATGAAAAAAAAATACTCAAGGTATGCCACAGTGTCTATATATTCATCTGAAGAGTACAAAGATGACGTTCTGAAAAAAAAGGTCTTAACACTTTAGAAAATAAATGTTTTTCTTAAATTGTTCAAAGAAAACATTTAAAAAAGTAATGTTTCATACATTGAAATAAAGCAATTTGTCAGAGATAATAAATTATAAATACAGTAGTCCAAATATTGTTTCTTTTTTAGCATTAGTTTTGCTACAAGTTAAATTCAAAACATTAAATGTTATACTCTTCTTTCAAAGGAATTGTGGAAATCTAAAACAATGATACCACCTTATGATCTTTACATAGAATATACTACATCATGACCATTTTAGACTTATAACATATTTTGGTTAATACATTACATTCGACCCATTAATATGCCTTTATATTTGGGAGAAATTAGATTGCGATTTATAACCTTGAAGTTCACCCAAATGTTCCTTACTTCCAAGTCTTGCTTGATTCTCTGCAGGGGGTTCTATCAGACTCATAATTAAAATGATGAAAATTGTAAATTACTTCTTTTGGACTGAAAAATGTCTTGTTTTTAAATAAAATAAAGTGCTTTTAAATTCAAATATTTCTTGCTCTAAACAAAACTGAAACATACTTAAACCTGAAATCTGTATCTTGACACACATTTTAATAGAAAAAAATCATTATTGGGCCATTAATGTCCTTCACAAGTTCAAATTGGATCTAAATCGGGTTTTGCATTATTATCGTGCTCATGTTTGTACATGAAGGTTAAAAGAAAGAGGGCAACATCCAAGGATGACCAATAGGCAGTATGTGACGTGACAGCTGACCAATAGCGGCTCTCCACAAGTCCTTCTCTGAGTTCAAAGTCAATTCTGTGATCCAATTCCACTAAAAAAAAAAATAAAACAAACAAATAAATATTACAATAAAATAGGTTCCATATAGACTTATGAGTTGAGGATAAAAATTTAGCTAATAGAAGTGATTCTTCTAATGATAAATATGTATATATATTTTAAAGTGACTTTCCACTCTAATTACATGGGAAAAACACTCAGAAGAGCCTTATTACCTCAGGATTCTATGTGGTGAGTCCTTTCTTTGTGTGCCCAGGTTAATATGGAATAATAATTGAAGAAAACAAACAAAAATTCACTGCCAGGCCAGTGTGGCTTAGTGGTTGAGCGTCAACCCATGAACAAGGAGGTCATGTTTCCATTCCTGGTCAGGGCACACGCCCGGGTTGCAGGATTGATCCCTAGTAGGGGCTGTGCAGGAGGCAGCCGATTGATGATGATTTTTCTCTCCCCCTCCCTTCTCTCTCTAAAATTAAAAATTTTTCACTTGGTATATTTAGGGTAAAACAAACTGGGCTCAAATGCTGGCTTTCCCTTGTGCCTAACCTGTAAAATAAGGAAAGCAGCCCTCCTGCAGAATTATGGGCCAGGCTTACATGCAGCAATAGCTGTGGGAGTGCAACAGGTCACTAATGGCCCCTCTAAGGCTCTGGGGGATACACTAGAACAGCGGTTCTCAACCTGTGGGTCGCGACCCCTTTGGCGGTCGAACAACCTTTCACAGGGGTCGCCTAAGACCATCCTGCATAACAGATATTTACATTACGATTCATAACAGTAGCAACATTACAGTTATGAAGTAGCAACAAAAATAATTTTATGGTTGGGTCACAACATGAGGAACTGTATTTAAAGGGCCAGAAGGTTGAGAACCACTGCACTAGAAGATAACCATCTTTTTACAGTGCCACAGTTTTCTTCCCCACTTGGCAGTTTAGATTTTGTCCAGTTAGCAGAGCCTAACATGGGGAACATACATTTGCTCAATAAATGTCTGCTGTGGCTGGGAACGTTAAACTGGGAGGAAGAGTGCTGATTCTCGGGAGGAAGGACTTCCTTTATAACAATGCTGCACTCAACGATTCAGTGAATTTAATAAAATCTTTTCTAAAATCCTCAGAAAGTCCTATAATACCTGTTAGAGAAAAAAATCACAACAAATCAAGATTATAGGAAAATTTCAATCAATTCATTTAATAAATCCTTAGAGAAAAGACACTTAGAAAATTGGTATTTTGATCTTCAGGAACTAACTCTTTTAAAATTGTGAGTGAGCCATACAGTCAGTATTTTGAAGGGTCCATCTTCAAAACAAAAAACACCCAAGTTACTACCACTCACATTCAAAGTCTGCTCTTTGTCCAGAGCCAGAGGATGTGAAAAGTGAAAACTGGCAAAAATTGAGGAGGAGGTTGGAGAAAAGTTGGGTTTTGTTTTATACTGGGACTTTGTTAATTGCATGTAGAAAACCACATCATTCTAGAGAATAATTTCATTTAAATGTTTAGCAAATACTTATTTTAACAATATTTTGTGACAATACCTTTTGGTGACTTAAAAATGCATCTACAGTTGTTATTTTTCCTTTTTTAATTTTAATTTTAGAGAGAGAGGAAGGGAGACAAAAACATCAATTTTTAGTTCTACTTACTTACACATTAATTGGTTGATTCTTATATGTGCCCTGACTGGGGATCGAACCTTCAACCCTGGCGTGTGGGGACAACATTCTAACAACTGAGCTATCTGGCCAGGGCTACAGTTGTTACTTTTCTATTCAATTGTTCTTTTCTGACAAGACATGTCCATGGATCCATCTATGCATTCTCAAGTAAGGTTTACACTTCAGCAGCACAAAATGCCAATTAGTTATTAAACCATTTGTAAGATATATCAACATAGGCTTTTATAAGGTTTTTTTAAACTGTTATTTTCCTCATTTAAATTATAATAAGCTAACCCATAAATTAGAAATAGTTGAAGCCGTATGTGGAACTGTGGAGTAGTAATGTCTGCATCTTTTATCTTCTGTATTCCATGTGACATTGTAGGTACGTTCTGGCACAAGAGACAGGAAGATGATAAAAGAGGAAACTGGAATTCTCAAGCATGATGAGAAAGAGTCAAGGTGAAGTTAGTTATAAAGGGAAAGGAGAAACAGAAGAAATGGGAGAGCTATGAATGAATATTGGTGAAAACCACCTAATAACTTCTAAGAATTCCCTTTAAAATGCCACTGTAGAAAATCTTACTAGTCTAACTAGTCTTAAGTTGAATTGTGTTTTAAAGTTAGAGTGTGAGACTTTTCTTGTTATAACAAGTGTTATTGGCTCCACTTTAATATTATGTACCTAAAATTTATTCTTACTATGCTATTCTTATGTGCAACACTGCCTTTCATATATTAGACACTGAAATACCTAATTTAATTGTTACCCTATTATATGCCCTTGTTATTCTTATCACCTAGACCAGCCGTGGGCAAACTATGGCCAGCGGGCCGGATCCGGCCGTTTGAAATGAATAAAACTAAAAAAAAAAAAAGACGTGCCCTTTTATGTAATGATGTTTACTTTGAATTTATATTAGTTCACACAAACACTCCATCCATACTTTTGTTCCGGCCCTCCGGTCCAGTTTAAGAACCCATTGTGGCCCTCGAGTCAAAAAGTTTGCCCACCCCTGACCTAGACTCTAGGGACTTTAATAATTGTTAACTGACTGGCCCTCCCTATCCCTTTCTATTTATCTTAGTGTGTCCCTACCAAATGGGATCTAGGTAGCCAGCTTGTACCTGATGAAACTGTTTGTCTTGCACCTTCCTTAAAGTTTACCCCAGGCAGTGTGGCTGCTGGTGTGGTTAACCTCACATTTGTGTTGATTCTGCAGGTGGATGGATAGAATTAGATGGGCTTATGTCTCACCTTCTCTCTCCTGTGTATAGAGATTTCCCAAGGGACTGAGATTCTACAGGACAGCACCATTCTATACAGGGTGGGGAAAAGTAGGTTTATAGTTGTGAATATGCAAAAACAGTTTATTCTTGTATTAGTATTTATTAATTATTGCACTGTTTTCCATACAAACAACTGTACACCTACTTTTGTTCCACCCTGTATGTGCTGTGAGATGTCTTGCCCAAAGTGGGCCCAAATCTACCTGGAATTGCCATGGACCTACTTTCCTATTATCTATATAATAAAAGCCCAGCGACCGTTATGGTGGAATGACCAGAACAACTGTTCACTATGATGTGCACTGACCACCAGGGAGCAGACGCTCAATGCAGGAGCTGCCCCCTGGTGGTCAGTGTGCTCCCACAGCTGGAGCACTGCTCAGCCAGAAGCCAGGCTCACGGCTGGCAAGTGCAGCGGCAGTGGCGGGAGCCTCTCCCACCTCCACGGCAGTGAGCCGAGTGGTAATGAGCAGTGAGCAGGTGGGTGGTAAGGATCGAGGAGTCCTAGACTGCAAGAGGGCGCAGGCCAGGCTGAGGGACCACCCCCTTCCAGTGCACAGATTTCATGCACGGGGCCTCTAGTTACCATATAAAGAATAGGCAGCATAACACAGCATAGTAGTTTTTCCCTAGTTTCTCTCACTGAGTTAGGTCAAAGAGAAAAAAGAACATAAAATCGTCACTTTATCCTCCTTTCTCTTTCTTGGATGACTAAGTGCTAGAATTCTCCTATTCACAAAGAAAAGAATGAGATTCCTGAACAGCTGAAGAGAAGTAAAAATGAGAAAAAAATGTTGGCTTTTAATAATCATCAGCAGTTTGCTTATATGCTTTAAAACATGTATTATTTTTTTTCCTGGGGAGTCATGCAGATGAACACATTTCCTCCCCTACTCCCCAAAGCAAATGTCTGCAGTCCACACCAGTGTGAAGGGAAGTGTCCTCAGTGCTGTGCTTACATTAGTGGTCTAACGGCTTATGGAGTTGGGAAGGCTTTAAGACAATGGATATAACGGCTGCTTGAATGCAGGACAAATGTATGAGTAGATTGATTTTCCTTTCTCCAACTAAATATGCAAAAAGCACAAATCGAATTATTTCTTTACGTAAATAACAATTACATGAGCAGAGACCAGAGTGAGCACTTTCATAAGCTCATTTCTTGAGGGGAATTCACTGAGTTAGATCAACACAAACTGTGGCTAGGGAGAAACAAGCACAAACAAAATGAAATCAGCTTGTTATACTAAAACAGTTTTGAAACTTGTATCAAGTAAGAGTTGTTTTGAAAACAGAAAAAAAAGTAAGCAATTAAATACAGAAATTATAAATTTAGATATAGTTAAAACATCCAAAGAAAAACCTGTAACATCTTTTGTTAAAGACAAAATACACTATTTAAAAAAAAATGGAAAAAGTAAGGAGTTGTGGAAAAAGGAATGAAAAGTTAATTGATAAAAATAATTTAAACTGCCAATATTAATCCTTCATGATATTTAGAATCTGCTGAAAGAGAATGAAAACATCTCTTGCATCCAATACTAATTTTTTAAAGCAAATCTACCTTTCAAAAGAATATTAAATACAGGGTGTCTTAAAAAATGTATACACACTTTGAATAATTTTAAATGCAGTGTTTATTAAAATACATTTTATTTTCAAAATTGAGCTATCAGCTATTAAAGTATGTATACATTTTTTGGGGACACCCTATATTTGTACTGAAACTAGATAACAGCTATGAAATACTTAGTATCAGCTCTAAGTGGTAGTGTTACTAATATCTGAAATAGCTAGATATAACTACATTCTTGATGCTATGAAAATCTTTTACATCTAGTGTAGTGCATAAAAAGTATAGTGAAGCCTTTAGGACAACAGAGAAGGAAAAAATGGCTTATGCTTTTCTCCCTCTCTAAAAGGTTCCTTCTCTGTAGGAGTATATAGGAGTATCATATATTTTAGCACATAAGGCACTAATCAACAGTTGGGTTTCAGGATCACTACCATTTAAGATTAGAAAATACATATTAGAAAGTACATATAAAATAGTGTATAGGCTGATTTCATAGGAGAAGTAATTAAATTTTCCAATGAGCAGAACTCTCTAAGTAGATCATTTTCATAGTATTCTGAATGCTATTCCTAACGTATACCATACCGAGGGTATTATCTTTATTCTGCATTACATTTTCCGGAAAAAGAAGATGTGGGAGATTTAAGAACGACTCCTGAAGTCTGAAATCTGTGAAAAAAAAACACAAGATGCTGTAAAGTATTGGCTGATAGCTATAAATGGCCTTCAATGATGCAGTGGCCAAAAGTTAGAACAGTCCTCCCAAATAAGCCGACTGAACCTAGCATACATAAAGAAGTACACATTTTGATGTTTGTAAAGATTTCTTTCATGGAAAATGTAAGCCTAATTAATTTTGAAATATAATGTCATAATCTGTTAACATCCAGATACCCCCAAAATGTATGGTTCATTTAAGTTCTGATATAGAGGGAAAACAATGCTAAAAGAAACAGACCTTTCTTTTTCATGTTACAAACACAGGGGAGCATAAGAAATGAAGTAGTGAAACCACTAGGAATAAACCTAGACTTTTTAAAAAGAAATGAAGAATAGTTAGTGCCATCAACTTGATGACAACTGATAGAACTTACTCTTCGAAGAGAGAAACCCTGATTGATCTCAAAGCCTGTGTCCATTTTACCTTCAAAGAAAGAGAGAATCAAAGTTGGTAGCTTCAGAATAAAGGTTATGGAGAAGAACCGAGGCAATGAAGGTGAGCAGAAAGAAGGAAAGAAGCCAGAATTACCTAATCACAATAACCAAATTCAAAAAGGAAGACTTGAGCAAGTTTTATGATTTGCAAGAGACAGCCAAAATAGCAATTAAGACTTAAGAAATTTGTTTCAATCTGGATTACACAGAAGAATATATCTTTGAAGCAAGTCCAAGAATTAGTAAGGCAAATCTTGAGGATTTGATTTAAAAGACAGAATTCTACTATAGGAGTAGTGGTCCAATTTTAATAGTTATATCTATATCTAGAGATGAATATATGCAACTAAGATTCATGATTATCTCAGATTTAATTGTGTGTATAGTTGACAAGAAATTTACCATTAGGCCTAACAAAGAATTTATATATAAGAATAGCAAATGTATTTTGTTAAGCTATCAAAATAAATGATGCAATACAGCTAAGCACCTCTATTCACTGGTGTCCTGAAAGAATAGGTTTCTCTCTTACCATTTTGAATATTACTATGTTAAAAAACAAACAAACACTAAAGAATAGTTTTCCTCCCTCAGATTCTATAGATTCTCTCTGTCTTCATCATCCTTTCTCTTGTGCTACATACGCTGCTCTTTTTGTTCCCTCATTCATCCCACTATTTACTAGCTCTTTGTTGTGTGTTAACATTATGAGGAATTGTGACTTTTTACCTATCCTGTCACAAAATTCTTTTAGAAAAATTATTTTTCCTCAGGAGTTTTCTTTAAACATCTGCATGTTACAACACACTTCTGTATTTTCACAATCACAATCCTGATATTAAGTAGAAGTGAGAGCTTAAGTCACCAATATCTTGCAAGAACATACAAAATTTGTACAAATATCAAAGTATAAAATGAATTTTCTAGGCAGTATTCAAAAGGCTTGCAATTAAAGAATTTCCAGTACTTAGAATCTGACAAAGATAAGATCAAGTTAAAAAAAATGCTATTAGTCTAAATAGAAATGTCCAATGTCCAGGATAATTAATCCTGGGGTGGGGTTCAGTTGGAGAAAGATCCAGCCTCTAGGAGGCCACAACTGAGCTTCCTTCTAAGCATGTTTTACGGATGGCAATGCTGGCCATTTTGAAATTCAGAGCAGCAGACACAGTAAGAAAACAAGTCTTAAAGTATCTGAAATAAAATGTTTAAACATCTTTAGAGAAAGTTTTCCTCTTCACATAGTTACAGAAGGAAGTAGGCTAGTTTCAGAATCTACATTTCCTTATATAAACTAATGGAAAAATAGGACTTGACTTTTTAGTCTTATTTTACTGGACACTTAAAAGTGAGGGTCAAGTTTAGACCCTTGGAAGTAAATATATACTAAGTAAGTTTTTCACAACAATTCACGATTTTAGACCTTTTAAATCCACTGGAAAAAAATTGAACATAGCTCCATTCCAATGCCATGTCCAGAATAAACTATCCATTCATACACTCATTTCTTGAGTACCTGCTTTGCACTAGTAGTGGGGCTAGAACTGGAAGCCATGGTTTTAGTATCGGGTTGGATAAAAGAACAGTGGGATAAGTAGCAGAATGGCTTTGGCATAGTGGTTTTTAAAAAGTATCAAGAGTAGATACAGCATAGGTTTAATGCAACTACATGAATTTGAGAAGACCATGTTTTTAAAAATCTACTTTATAAAAACCAGGGGGTGCTTACCTCAGAGAGATTTGTTTTATGCTTGATGCTTAAGACCCCCATGCCATAATAATGCCATTGATTATTATTAATTCACCAATGCAGAGAATAAAACTGCATTTACCTGGGAGTAGTCTTAAAAATATAAGCAGCAGAAATGGATTTTTTTCTTTAAAAGTTTTAGATTTTAGAGTTGACTGCCTGTGTTAATATCATAATCCTCTCTGCTCTCCTCAATTTGAAAAAAGATACAGCATAAAAAAACAGTATGAACTAACATGCAGAATCAAGAAAGCCAGAACTGCTATGTGGAAGGGTCTGTGTTGCCACAGTGGTAGTAGGAGGTGAGGCAACTGGCTTCTTCTCGTCTTCCATTGAGTCTTTTGGTGTCTCAGATGGCTGTGCAGTAGATGAACGTCCAAACCTTGAGAACAACATTCCTCCAAGTCCCTTTCCAATGCTAGCAGCCCCTGCATTTCACAAAACAGGGCAGTCATTCTGCTGAATTACACCACATACCAAGCCAAAGAGCACCACCCATAATTATAGCCAATTGGCAGAGGCACCAAGCTCTAGTCATGTTTTTCCAGAGTGGGAACATAAAAAAGTTACAATTTATATTGTAGGTTTCTAAATAAAACTGGTGTTGAACAGAAAGAGAATGTAAAGACTCTAAAAATATAGCTTACAAAAGAATAAAGATTCTATTTTACTCAAGTGATCATTATTTATTAAAGTATTTGGTAAAATTAGAAATACATGACACAGGTATATATTTACTATTGATATGCTTTAATACTGAAGTTAGATGGATATGTAATAAAAAGTTATCAATAAAAAATCTGTATGATAAAGTGACATAGCAATTAAATCAGCAGGTAAAGCCTATTTAGAGTGCCATCTTGTGGCATTTTATATTAAGGCAACTTATAACCAAAAGCAATGGACAAATTCAAGTGGCACATTATTGAACTCCAGTGCTACACCAAATATTGTAGCTGTAATGGAGAGCATTCAGAGACAAATTAAATATCCTTGTTGCCCTCAGGAAGGACACAATTTAAGAGACTTTTGGGACATGGATCAGAGAACTAGATGGCAGGGGCACCCTTACAACTCAAGTACCTTCTCATTTCACAGATAAGGAAGCATTAAGATCTATGGGACTTGCCCAAGATCTCACAGGAAGTAGTAGGGCCAAGTTAAATGAGGGACTTGATCCTCAGACCCTTGTGCATTCAGCTATTTCACATCTAAAAGTATAGGATTGGATCTAATTAGAGAAGTTCAAGGTTTTTGGCCCTCAAATATGAACAGCGAGAGGGCAGTTATTTCTAAACACATGGATTAACTGTTGATTGGTTTGTAATACATAGAATAATTCCAAACACCCCAAATTTAATGCCTGAATAAAAAGTATTTATATTCATTGATAGGAATACTGAAGTGAAATTACCTAAGATGCTTGCTTTGCCTATATTTGTTATAGATTCTCCATAGTGTCGGCGAGGCAAGACAGGTGAGGTCACAGGGCTTGGTATTGTGGAAATGCCTTCATTCTCAGCAATGGAGGTAGATTCTTTGCATGGGTGGAGAAAGCAGGGCTTCATATGCTCATATGGTAAAGGATTGGAAGTATTATACCAGTGAATCTGGACAGGTGAAATGTTGCTGTAGTGTTTCAGTATTAACGGTTCTAACCTATAAGCCTTGATTAAAAAAAAAAAAACCACAACATTAAGGCTCAGATTTTAGTAAACTCTATTTATTCTTATTCTATTGCATGCTCAGCAGACCTTAGGGAATTTTAAAAAACCTGATGTTTCTAACATGTATTTCCCATTTGTTCACTCTTAATAATATGTAGTTGGTCTAATATTTCCTTAATGATGGGACTATAAAAAAACAGAGTTAGTCTAGGATAATAGTTCCCAGAGAAAAAAATTCATTTTTACTATGCCCTGACATCATCTAACAGATTAATTTTAGTCTCACAAACAAAGCAGAAGCAGTCATGAGTAAACTGGAACACAGTAAATAAGGGCAATTATTACTAACTTAGAAGCTCTGAGTAAACCCCACTTTCAAATACATTAACATAGTAACACACAAATTAGATCCCAATAGAAGACTATTTGTCTCCTGTGAAGTGGAGGCGATACAGCAGAAATGGCAATGGATTTGGTGTCAGTATTCCCCGAGTTCATATTCTAGCCTGTCACAGGTCTCAGTCTCAGTTTCCTGAGCTGTAGAAAGGCGATAACACTTTCTACCTCACAAGGATGTTGGAAATAGATAATGGTTGTACAAACTGCCTAGCACAGTTATGATATAAACACTAAAAAAGCATTACTTAAAAAAAATCACAAAAAACTATAAAATGAATAAAAATAATTTATATTAACGAAATGAGTTTGGAACCCTCCTTTATAATGGAACAAACTTTAACATTATACAAAGAACACTGAAAGCTCAGAGTTCACCTATGAACTCAAGTTCACTTTCAAGTTATAAAAATAATGAGTAAAATGAATGTATATTAATGAAATACGGAACATCTAGCTAGATGTTTCCATATATATTAGTTAATCCTAACCCATAAAGTAAACATTATCATCTACATCATATAGATAAGAAACAGTCTCCGAAGTGACTTGGGCCAAGACTGTGCAGTCTGTATTTAAGCCTTATATTAGATTCCAGTTCAGTTAAATTTATTTCTTAAAGATAGCAGTTTTGATTCTTTAACATATGGGCAATTTTCTAAAATTCTAGTGTTTAGTCAGTGTTTTATTTATTTGGTATTAGCTAACAATCTTTTAAAAGACTTTACACAATTATATAAATCTATTTTTCAGAATGCTACTTAAAATAGTTTGTTTTAATTTTAGGTATATCTAGCCTAGTCCCCCAAAAGATTTAAGAAATCATTATTTTTTCATCTGAAAATGATGCATCAAACTGTTTACCTGGATGCAAGACCCTTGGACTGTTTGTATTAAACAAATTATTTACAACAGAACATGTAAAAATCCAAAATTTTATAATCCCACCAGGCTAAACCAAACTCTTCCACCTTTTCATGTTTTAATACATAATATTTAAATATTTTCACTTCTAAGAGGATCTACCACATACATTTCATATTGTAGCATATTTTAGAGAAAAATAGTTAAAGTGGGATTCTCAAAATTTATGATTGCTAGGTTATTGGCCTTACAACTGGTTATGGTTTGAAAGTACAGAAGATTCTCATCCCTTGTATTAGTTATCAAGATAATATTTTTACATTATACTCTTATACTATAAGTACAACATAAACAGGTCATCTCTAAGGTATTTTACTTCCTGAGTCCCACATCATCCAAAACACAAATGTTTTAAAAATATGAACCTATGCAAATACAAAAGATAAATGAACTCTTTCTCATTAATTCAGTACCTAGCAAGATTTCTTACAGATTCTTTTAGGAACAATATAATATTGAGAGAAAAATGTCTATATGTGCAACTCACCACTGGATCTGTTGGGTGAAAAATATTTAGTAACCGGTTACAAATCTCTCTGGGCAAAATATGGTCTTGACTTCCAGTGTTCCCTGGGCGAATGCCACGCAATGCCAAAAATACTGCTAGTGGGGATCCCATGCAGAAGAAATTCTCAACCTGAAATATTAAAGCCATTGACAATTTTAAAAATGGTGTAGTGTTTTTCAACAGAATTTGAGCACAATAAAACAAGTGGTAAAATACAAATAAAATTATCTCCAAATATGTCTTTTTCTATGAGGTTTGTCTAGATGGCATCTGCATTATTTGTTAACTATATGCTAATCATTAGTTATCTTATACAATCTTCCTAGTAACAACTTCAAATATATCTTTCAATATAATAGAAAATGAAGAATGAGAATGATGAGAAGATAATTCCGTTGTGTTTCTACACACTAATCAAAGATTTATTCAACTACTATTTTGTGTGAAGTAATATACTTGGTTCTATGGAGGATATAAAGACAAATATGGCAATGAGAGAAAAAGGAGACATCTGTATACTTTCAACAATAAAGATAATTTTTTAAGAAGATGAATAAGGCAGAGCTTCTGCACTCAGAGTTTATAATCTTATGTGAATGGCAGAATAAAATATATGCATAAGTTGGGGAAAGTATGCTATAAGACAGCAATTTGCAACCTTTTTCATCTCATGGCACACACAAACTAATTACTAAAATTCTGTGGTACACCAAAAATTAATTATATTTTTTTGCGGATCTGACAAAAAAAGGTATAATTTTGATTCATTCATACTGGACAGCTATTTTTCTGTGGGCTGTTGAGATTTTTTAATTTGGCATTCTAAAGGAAAAGAGGTCAGTGCCTCTGACTAAACAGTTGGGTATTACATGTTTTAAAAATTCTTATGGCACACCGGTTGGAAATTGCTGCTTTATTAAAAGAACAAAGAAAGGAATAATTAATTCCAACTCCGAGGGCTTTACAAAGGAGGAAGCATTTGCATGGGCCAAAAAGATGAAAAGCATTTTCACAATTGGGGTTGGATCACTGGAGATTAAAAAAAGGATGTTCCAAACTGATGGTACCACATGAATTAAAGCAGAGGCAGGAAAGAACCTGGTTTAATTTAAAGAACAGAAATAGTCTGATATGGTTGAAAAATTGGGTGTGGGGAAAATGTAACTTGGAGTGAGAGAATATTATAAAACCTTGGCTGTTTGACTAAGAAAGTTGGACTTAATTTATTTTATAGATAGTGAAGGAGAATAGGATTTGATTCATGTTTTAGGACAGTGGTTCTCAACCTTCCTAATGCCGCAACCCTTTAATACAGTTCCTCATGTTGTGGTGACCCCCAATTTCACTGTTACAAATTGAACATAATTAAAGCATAGTGATTAATCACAAAAACACTGTGTAATTATATATGTGTTTTCCGATGGTCTTAGGTGATCCCTGTGAAAGGGTCGTTCAACCCCCAAAGGGGTCGTGATCCACAGGTTGAGAACCGCTGTTTTAGGTTAAATTAAAAAATTGAGAGGCTGGTGACTTGGAGACAAGGTAGGAAATTATTGAAAGAGTTTAGGCAAAAGATAATCTGAACCCAGGTAGGACTAGCTGTCCTGTGAGGGGCCAGGATGGAGTCAGCATGAATGGGTGGAGACATAAAAAGTTTTGAGATATCTGTAACATCTCTAACAGGTAGATGAAAATTTAGGACAAGAGATATAGTCCTGTACATGTCACCATCCAAGTCTATGCGTTGCCATTATAGAAGTGATGTGTAAAACCAAAAGAATGGGAAAGATTGCTTAGGAAGCCCTAACTGGTTTGGCTCGGGGGATAGTGCGTTGGCCTGCAGACTGAAGGGTCCCAGGTTCGATTCCGGTCAAGGACACATGCCTGGGTTGCAGGCTCGATCCCCAGTAGGGGGCATGCAGAAGGCAGCCTATCCATGATTCTCTCTCATCATTGATATTTCTATCTCCCTCTCCCTTCCTCTCTGAAATAAAAAAATATTTTTTAAAAAAGAAGATTGCTTAATTGCTTAGGAAGAGCACAGAGTAAAATGGCTTTAGATAGAACTATGAGGAATGTTTTCATTTGATTAGCAGGCAAAGGAGGAAAAAACTACAAAGAGAAAAGTGAAAGGAGAAAAAGAACCAGGAAAATGGTATCATGGAAGACAAGGGAGTATAGGGCTTCAAGAAAAATAGGGTGGTCAACTGCATTGGATTACATATAGAACGAAACACCTTTTCCTCCTAAATCCACCCTACCTCTCTCAGATGTTTCATATTTTGATGAGTGAGACATCCCAAATTTATCCTTCCCTCTAATCCCAAACATTGAAGAAGTCATTCCAACAGATTCTAACATTTTACCTTATTTCCTCTCATCTGGACTAGACTGTAACAGTGTCCCTTCAATTTTATACTATCTTTAATCCCTTCCCACAAAGCCTCTGGAGTGATTCTTCTTTTCTCCAGATGGAAAAAATGTATATGAATAAATATATATTTTGAAATGAAACCTTTATGTTAAAGGAAATTTGAGAAAGTTTGTGTTTTTATTTGTTTCTAAGGAATTGAAGGCTGAAGAAAATTAACTTGTGTTAAGAAAAAATACATAATAAAAAGCATTTAAAATCAGAGTGACACAGATAAAAGCATCAATTTCTGAAAAAAATCAAGGTCATCTATATCCTATCTAATAAAAGAGAAACATGCAAATTGACCATACCCCCGAACGCTTCCCATTGGCTAATCAGCAGGATATGCAAATTAACTGCCAACCAAGATGGCGGCCGGCAGCCAGGCAGCTGAAGTGAACAGGAGGCTTGCTTGCTCCAGTGATGGAGGAAGCCAAGGTTCCCCGCCTGCCGCCGCCCAGCTCTGAGCTCCAGATGCAACAATGTTGCAATTATAGAAGGTAAACAAGCTCCAGAAACCTGCTTTCAGCCGGCAGCAGGCTCAGAGCTTAGAGCGGCAACAGAGTTTCAATTATAGAAGCTAAACAAAGCCCAGATATCTGCTTTCAGCAGCCGAGGCCTCAAGCTGGAGCCGGCCTCAGAGCTAAAGCTGGCTCTCAGCTCCAGTGACAGCCATAGAAAGTAAATAAATCCCAGAATAAAAAAAAAAGAAGAAAAAAAGGAGAGGCTGGGAGCTTCAGTCACCCGCCAGCCTGAAAACAGCCCTCAGCCCCTCATCCAGACTGGCCAGGCACCCCAGTGGGGACCCCCACCCTAAAGGGGGTGCGGGCAGCCTAAAAACAGCCATCAGCCCATCATCCAGGCTGGCCAGGCACCCAAGCGGGACCCCCACCCTGATCCGGGACATCCTTCAGGGCAAACCAGCTGGCCCCCACCCGTGCACCAGGCCTCTATCCTATACTACAGGCAGGGCGGGACAGCACGAGCTGCCATCTGGGCCCCATGTGCAGCCCTGGGCAGCGGGGCATAAGCCCCGCCCCCAGCCGGGACCTCCATGCTGCCTAAGCCCCGCACTGCTAAGCCCCGCCCCCAGCCGGGACCCTATGACTATTGGAGAGCAGGAAAGTGCCACTGGGCCCTGGGTTGCTGTGGTGATCTGGCCATCGGTAAGTAGAAAAGTGCAGCCTGTAGGCAGCCCCCAGCTGTGCCTGATCCGGGAGGAGGAAAGCCTGGCTTGAGGGCAGCCCCAAGCTGGGCCTGATCCAGGAGCAGGAAAGCCCGGCCTGTGGACAGCCCCCAGCTAGGCCTGCTCCCCGGTTGCCATGGAGACCTGGAAGCGGGAAAGCCCGGCCTGTGGGCAGCCCCCAGCTGGGCCTGCTCCCCCGTCACCATGGTGATCCTGGAGCAGGAAAGCCCGGCTTGCAAGCAGCACCCCTATCCTGGCCATAGCTCAAGGGAGAGTACAACATGCAGTGGAGGCTGGGAGCCTGAGAGATCAACACAGAGGGGCTCCTGCTCCAAGCCTCCATGGTGTGGTTGGGGCAGGCCCCCAGCAGACACACACACACACACACACACACACACACACACACAGAGCGCCTGCTCTGAGCCTCCAATGTGGCTGGGGGCAGACCCCCAGTGGACACACACACACACACACACACACACACACACACAAGGGACGCCTGCTCCGAGCCTCTGCTGCCAGACTGTGGCCATAAGTAGGACATCCACTGAGGGCTCCCGGAATGTGAGAGGGGCAGGCTGGGCTGAGGGAACCCCCACCCTCCAGTGCACGAATTTCATGCACTGGGCCTCTAGTACGTATATAAAAGGATAAGTGTCCGTCCATCTGACTGGTAGCTATGAGGTGCACTGACCACCAGGGGGCAGGTGCTCAATGCAGGAGCTGCCATGATGCACACTGGCCATTTAAAAATAAATGGCACCATGGACTTGGCGCCGACAAACCAACACTTTGCTTCCACCAAGTGGAACACAGGAACCAACCCGGAGCGACACCCCACCAAATAGCAGCAAATGCTGCCAAGACCCCATGGCGCAAAATGCGATCCACAGCCCAGCCCAGCCTGGAAATGGTCGCTGTGGGCACCAGGTAATGACGTCACATAGCAATGCCTGGCTTCCTCTCCCTAGCGACTAGCATCCTTGGAGTTTCTTCAGCCCAGGAACCCAACTTGCTTTATAGCCAGGTGCAAACATTTTACAGTTTAATCAAATGTTTGTGAAGCATTTTCCCATGCCTCATCTCATTTGATCCTCACAGAAGTCCTGGATTAGGTAGATAGGAGATTCAGTAGAATCCTATTTTCTTTTCATTAGCAAGACATGAATAGCGATATTAAAATATTTCTTCTAATTAATTTCTTTTCAATGTGCACGAATCTGTGCACAAGGACAGTTTCTTCTATAAAGAAAGAAAAAATAAAGCATGCCTGGGTTGTGGGCTCGATTTCCCAGTAGGGGGCGTGCATGAGGCAACCGATAAATGATTCTCTCATCATTGATGTTTCTATTCCTCTCTCCCTCCCTCTCTCTGAAACCAATAAAAATATATTGAATTTTTTTTTAAAGAGTAGAGCTAGAAGAGAAAGCTATGTAAATCCTTTCTATTTGATATACACAGATACACACATGCATACTATAGCGAAATGCTTTATGCATTGGTCAGACACATCACAAATGTTTGTAAAATGGTTCAATCCATGAAATAAATAACTTTTCTTTCTTTGTTTATGATTGGTCAGCAGTTTGACAAATAAAGGAATATTCTCAGAGAAGACTAATGACTGCTTTAGTGATATCTATATCCATCAAAGAATTTTAAAGATGAAAAAGGGCTTTAGACATTTAGTCTATCGTCCTTGCCCAGAGATGACTAACCAGATGAATTCAGAGATGTTTAATGATTTGGCTAATGTTACATTACTAGTTAGTGGCAAAGCCTCATGATCATAATCAAAGTTTCCCACTCTCCAGACCAAAGTTTGTCAATATGTTTTTCTTCTATGAAGTTCAGTGGTCACCCATAACAGATCTAACACCTGTATTCTGAAAGTAAATCTATCTGCTAATTAATAGGCACAGAAATTAGAACTTTGGAGTCCTAAATATTAATTTGCCAATTCATCAGATATTCCTTTTTAAACTTCAAATTTATTTACTTTTCCTCTATGAGTAATTAAATAGCAATTAAAAATCCATATTATTAGACTACATATGACTTTATATTAAGATACACAATTATAGTACATAATTTCTAGTAATGTAAAACTATTTTTTTTAATCCTCAGTTTACATGCAATATCATTTTGTATTAGATTCAGGTATACAGCATAGTGGTTAGATAATCATATACTTTACAAAGCATTCCCCCAAATTCTTACTATTTAAAAAAATTCTGCATCTTTCCATTACTTAACCTGTATGTTAAGTTCCTATGATTTGCTTTTTTTAAAAAATATATTTTTATTGATTTTTTCTAGAGAGGAAGGGATAGGGATAGAGAGTTAGAAACATCGATGAGAGAGAAACATCGATCAGCTGCCTCCTGCACACCCCCTACTGGGGATGTGCCTGCAACCAAGGTATATGCCCTTGACCGGAATCGAACCTGGGACCCTTCAGTCCACAGGCCGACGCTCTATCCACTGAGCCAAACCAGTTAGGGCTGTGATTTGCTTTTGACAGCTCCATTTTGGTGCTCAAACCCCCTAAAAAGCTTCCCATTGTACATATCAAATATAAGTTCTTTATTTCTAGCTCTTCCACAGCCCCCTTGCCTTGAGTCCTGTCCATGACAGCCCAACTGGTTTGCTCAACCTGCTCCAAAACTAACCACGTGTGTCATCTTGTGCTTTGGTTACATACTTTTCATTGCTTGAAATGCCAGCTTTCCATCCCTAGAATCATCCACTTATTTTTCTTACCACCCACAAATAGCTGGTCACTAAGGCTTTTAATTCTAAATACTAAACATTTCCCAGATCTGCCTCTTATTTTCCCACTACTTGAGATTACTTCATTTTTCTTGGAGTTACTAACGTTATATCCCTCCATATCTTTATGTTCTTTCTTTTACACAGAATAGCATTTTCCTTTCCTCCACTTGGCAACATTCCAGTTTATTGATAACAAGTATAAGTGTCATTTCCTTGTAATCCTTTATAGCCAAAATTAAAACCCTCTTTTCATACATACATCATTCTGCATACTGCCAATAACACTGTGTTACATATCCTAAGGGCTGGGGAACTGTCTTGTCCATTCTTTTCTTTGTAGAATTCAGAAACTAGCAATGTCCAACATATAACATGTGTTTAATAAATATTAATTTGAAAGAACAATAATTTAGATTTCACTGAATCATAATGTCATGTGGCAAATGCTGTTTGGAAAAATTGTGAGACAGATAATGAAAATCTCATCAGTCTTTTCTTACCTTAAATTTCAAGGCAGGTATTTGTGTCATTGATGATGCTTTCAATCCATTTAGCCTTTCTTCTATTTCTCTCAGCCTAGGAAGCAGTATAAAATTATTTACACATTTGTATTTATGGTTTCATAAATATTAAATGCTCACTAGTTCACTAAAGTATAAAGAATTAAAGACCTATTATTTAATCCCTCAAAATCAATCCCTATTGACAGTATTTAATAAATGCACCTGCTGTAGTACAGAAAGTCTATAAAAGTTTATAAAATAATTAGTAAAAGTATTCCTACTCTTTATAATACCTGCTGTTAGTATTTTTTGGTGGATCCTCTAGTAAAATGTGAGGCAAATAAAAGCATACTTATAGCGTGGCTGGTGTGGCTCAGTGGTTGAGCTTCATCTCATGAACCAAGAGGTCCCTATTGGATTTCAAGTTAGGGCACATGCCTGGGTTTTGGGCTTGATCCCCAGGAGGTGGTGTGCAAGAGGCAGTCGATTGATGTTTCTATCTCTCTCTTTCCCTTCCTCTCTCTCTCAAAAAAACAAGCAAACAAAAACCAATAAAAACAGCATATATACATACATACATATATATACATATATATATGTATACCTTAAAAAATCACACTAAATGTTCATACCATATACATTGTTCTTTCTTTTTTCTATACTTAATGAATCTTAGAGATCTTTTCATTTCATTACTTCCTGATCTACTTTAATCTTTTTAACAGCTGTGTAATTGTCTATTACATGAACGAACCATAGTTTTTTTAAAAAAATATATTTTATTGATTTTTTACAGAGAGGAAGGGAGAGAGATAGAGAGTTAGAAACATCGATGAGAGAGAAACATCGATCAGCTGCCTCCTGCACACCCCCTGGGGATGTGCACACAACCCAGGTACATGCCCTTGACCGGAATCGAACCTGGGACCTTTCAGTCCGCAGGCCGACGCTCTATCCATTGAGCCAAACTGGTTTCGGCCGAACCATAGTTTTTTCAACCCTTCTTTGCTAGTGAACATTTGAGTTATTTCAATTTTTCCCATTAAATGTTCCATATCTACTTACATTTAATAAACAATAGAACTAAGTTTTAAAAAAAGGGTGCAATTCATTTTATAAGCTGTTAATTTTTTTTTCTTACTGGATTTTATATCTAAAATGCTGTTCTGAGGCTTTTCAACATGAAATTTTCTTTCAAAACTATAAATTATTTTGCCACGGTAAACTTTATGTATCTATTCTGGTGCTAAGATTATATAGAACCCTTAAACTTCCATAAGCTTGAAACAAACCCAAGGCTTCCTGAGTAAAAATTGGGTATTATATAAATTGGTGATTTTTATATAATGCTAACTACCAAAATGAGTGATTTTTCACTGTTTTATTAAAATTAATTGGATAGTTATTAAAAGGACAAAGAAAGAGCATGTAACTACCGATGAAGAGAGGGGTATAGCAAACTAAACGATAGTATCCAGAAAGGCCACAAGTGATCAGATAATTATAAAATCTGTCAAAAACAGATTTACCAAGGAAAAAAAAGGCTTGAAAATTATTTCTAAGATTAAGATAGGTAAGGGCACATTCTTTAAGATTAGTAAAACTGACAAAGGATTCTACATACTGACTCAGCTTGAAATAAGTTTTAGATTTCACTCCTAAGAAATTGTGAAGGACAGGCAGAAAGAAAAAGAGGCAGATGACAAAACCATTTATTTTATGCTACAGGAAAATGCATATAATTAGCATGAAAACAGTCTCTCCTTGATTAGCCATGTTATCTAGTAATTTTTGTACCCTGAACAATGTAGTTTTTCTTTATCATGAAAATCTTAAAGTTTTCTCCTAAGAAGTCCAGCAATTCCATGAAGAGATTTTAAATACTAGAGTATTTTTACCGTCGTTTTGTTATGTAGAGTTCATCAAGAAGGTGTCGTTCTTCATAGCTCATCCATTCTTCATCAGGCAACTCGTCTTCCTTCTCCATCAACTGTTCATAGAATCGAACTGGATTCCAGCCAGTCATTATGTCATAAGTGATTACACATCCCAGTGAATGTGACACTATTGAGACTTTACCCCCTTTTTCTTCAAAGTCTGGATTCCGAGAACAGAAAAGGGAATATAATCGATTCAGCTCTTGCTGAAGGCCTTTAACTAGCTGTTTGAAATAAGAGAACATTATCATATTAGAGTAATCACAGATACTCTGAACTCTATTTCTAAACATACATTACTGGCCAAATACACCTAGGTTATTAAAATTAACACAGATGCCTTAAAACATTGCAGGAAATGAAGATATGTATTATTATAATCTATATCATCACTAAAGAATAAAGGCAGATATTACACAGATTCATTCATAATCCTTAAGCATGCTATATGAGCCAGCAGTTCTGTACATTAAGCAAAAAAGGTTCACGAAGATTCCAGTAAGATTTTCAAAGAGCCCCTAGAAATTTCTCCTTCACTGCAAATTCCATGCAATTCTAAATTTTTGTACCTTGTAATTTTTAGGCCTTAATTGAGTTTACAATAACAGGTATACGAATGTAGTATATATATTATTACACTGTGCATTTAGATAAGAATGATGGAATAAAATGTCATTGTATGATTAAAGAAAAGCTAACATCGATCTACTTGATATTTCAAAATTCCCAAAAGTTGGTAATAAAGATACGAGTAAACAGTTGTTTTACATGGCTGGAAAGCAGAGCTTTTTAAGGTTTAGGGGTTCATAATGTGGGAAGTATTTTAGTCATTTTTCTTTGTAAAACTGTTTTCTTTGAAATTTAGCTTTAACAAACATTGCTGAAATATGCCAGGAAGTCAGAAGAAAAAGTTTTTTTTTATTACTCAAATCCATACTGGGTCCTGACCTGTGTTTGAAGGCAGTTCTCTACTCTTCATTATCATTGCTGGGTACTATAATTAATGGTAAATTTCCTGCTTGATATTTAATTTTTCATTTCAGTACTTATACCAGCTGTTACTCCAACATACAAATATTAGTTATGTGTGACTTCCATTTTCAAATATGACTCCATCATATTTTACTGAACATTCTCTACCTGCTCACAAACTGAAAATCATCTGAGCATTCATGCATAGCAGGATTAGCAGTGACATGAATGAAGTCATGGTGTTCTCTTTGTTGACATCTCAGAACTCTACAAGCAACAATGAGGGTTTGGTTAAAGCTACTGAAACCATGTATTGGGTCTGATGAAATATATTCAGCTAATGAAGGAAGAGAAGGATAAGATGAGCTGGTAGCATGTGGAAGGATGATAAGCTACCCTTTCTCTAAGGAGAAATGCAAACATTTTACTTTAATTGTACATTTTAATTTTTTTTTTTAGGAAAAGCAAAACAATTCCATGCTTTAATCAACGGTTCTCCAACTTTCAATGTGTGGCAGAATCACTTAGAAGGTTTGTTAAATACAGATTACTAGGCTCCATCCCAGAATTACTGCTTTAGTGGCAAATGCATATAAAAGCCTTCCAAGACATGGGCTGTCAGTAATTCTAGTCTAAACAGTTTCAGGAGTAGGTAGTGTGATATTAAAGTATATGCTCTGTTCAAAGTGAGCTATAATGTAATGTTTTAGTTCTGATAATATAATGGTTTGGCTTTGATAAGAACATCAACAAACTCAACGTTTTTATCATTTTCCTGATTTATAATCTAAAGGTGTAGAAAAAGTGAATGTTTAGATAAAAATTAATTCCTTTAAAAGCAACATTTGTTAATAGTTTTTACTTTTGAAGGCCTTGTTTTAAGACACCATGTAAACCTAGAAACACTAAAAGATATACTTAAGTACTCTGGCAAAAGGTACTTAATCTGTTTTTTTTAAAATACCAACTTCTCAAAATGCTTTAATAAATCATCCACTTAGCAGCAAAAGGAGAAATCCACCTCCCTGTTGCATCTAAAGAGTCTACTCTGATTAGGTTTTTCTAATTAGGTTTCCTTTTTCCTATCTGATCCAATTATATTCTCCAACCTTAGGATCCCTTTGTGACCAAGTATATTCATTTGGGACATCTGGACCAAGATTAATGATATATCCTATAATCTTAATTTTATTAGCTCTACAATATTATCTAATTAAGTCAACTAACCTTTTACAAAGTAGGCATTAGATGGCCTTTCAAAAGCTTAAGAGTTTTTAAATCTCATAACCATTGCCCCAAAGTTAAAATGTATGAGGAAAATCAATCCAAAAGGAAAAATCCCAGCATTTTTAAGAGAAAATCCAAACACATAAAACATGGCTGACGACTATAATTAATCCTTTGTCCTCCCTGCTTCAGGAAATTTTAATGAGAAAAAAATTATTTAGACAGTTTTAGTTATATATATCAATTAAATTTCTTTTTAAAATAAAACTATGTTTCTTAATTACAATAGAATTCAATTAAACAATTTTCCAATAACAATGACAAGATACTGCCATAACTATTTTTTTTGTAATTCTTCATTTTTAATGCTATTGAAAAGAGAGTTCAGTTGTGTGCAAGAAGTATGGTTGTCTCTGATTTTTCACATTACTTTATTTAAGGCTGAAGTAAGGGCCGATGGCTCTCTAATGTTATTTTGGAAGTCTGATATTAGTTCTGTTTTAGAAACTGGTCCTCAGAAAGTGTAACCTGCAAAGTACTGATTTATACACTACACTTTTTCTCTAACCATTTTTTTTAGTGATTATTTGCACAGTCATGAGTTAGAATGCTCCCATGAGCACCTCAGAATCTGGAGTGAAGAGGAACCTTGGAGATGAGCTAATTTAAACTGTGATGAAGGGAGGAGTCCCTTCAGTAGCATCCCTGATAAGCTGTTCAGCATCCACCCCAATAACTATCTCTACTCTACAGTGGTCACTTCTATTTAAAAACATTTTTTCTGTTTTATTGAGATATAGTTGACATATAACATTATATAAATTTAAGGCATACAACATGATTTGAGATATGTATATATTGTTAAATGATCAACACAATAAAGTTTAGTTAAAACCCATCACTTTCACATTATATGCAATTTCTGTTTACCTTGTGATACTTTTATTTTTTAAAGGCAGCTTTAGTTATTACAAAGTCCTTCATTAGTAAACAAGTGTGTTCCTTTCCATATTTTCTTTCTTTCTTTTCTTTTTTTTTTGGTTAATACTCAGTTGAGAATATATTTTCCATTAATAAAGTAGAGAAGGGAGGGAGGGAGAGAAACATTGATGTGAGACACACACATTGATTAGCTGCCTCTCACACTTGCCCCTACCAGGGCCAGGGATCAAATCTGCAACCCAGGTACATGTCCTTAAACAGGAGTTGAACCCAAGACCCTTGGGTGTGCAGGCTGATGCTCTAACCATTAAGCAATACCGTCTAGAGCCTTTCGGTATTTTCTATAATCTGATACTAACTGCACTTATTTCTAGAGTTAAAAAACACAAGTCTAGCCCTGGCTGATTGCTCAGCTGTTAGAGCATCGGTCCACGGACTAAAGGGTTCAATTCCAAGTCAAGGGCATGTACCTCAGTTTGCAGGTTCGATCCCTGGTCCTGGTCAAGATGCATGCAGGAGGCAATCAGTTGATGTTTCTTTCTCACATCCATGTTTCTCTCTCTCTCTCTTAAGATCAATAGAAAAAATATCCTCGGGTGAAGATTAAAAAAAGGTCCATTCCTTTTTTTAAAAAAAATGGTAGCCCTTGAAATACATATACACACTTAATCACAAGATGAAAATCTAAGGACAAAAAATTGTACTGGAAACTATATACAGGGTGGTGAAAAGTAGGTTTATAGTTGTGAGTACGTGAAGCACATAGTTTGTTCTTACATCGTTATTTATTACTAGAGGCCTGGTGCACAGGTTTGTGCACTGGTAGGGTCCCTTGGCCTGGCCTGTGCCCTTTCACAATCCCAGACCCCTTGGGAGATGTCGGATAGCTGGTTTCAGCCTAATCCCTGCAGACCTCATCCAGACAGGAGAGAGCCCAATCCCCACAGGCCCAATCCTGTGCATTGAGCGTCTGTCTCCTGGTGGTCAATGCCTCATAGCGACTGGTCAGCCGGTCGTTAGGTTGCTTAGGCTTTCATATATATAGATTGTGTTATTTTCCTATGAACAACTGTAAACCTACTTTTGCCTCACCTTGTATATCTTTAATCCTCATGGCAACCATTATCTGGTACATATTTTATGTCCATTTTATAAGTGAGGAAGCTAAGAACGTGAGAAATGGGATCTATGGTCACATAGCTAGTTAAGTGGCAGGTTTTGAATCTGTATCTATTTGATTCCAAAGGCTGAGAGGAAGGGGAAAAAGGTTTTCATATGCCTACCAATTAACCTAACAAGGTTCATTCACTAGCCTAGGCAGGAATGAATCCTAGAGAACTGCTGGCTGTTATTTATCACAACTTCCTTAAGGAAATGTAAGCTGTTGAGGAATAGTTTATTCTAAAATACTGCCTAACACCAACCTTGTACTAAGTGGACTTTGATTTGCAGAATGAGTTTTCCTTTTTAAAATTACAAACAATTTTTGCCCACTTCTCACTAAGTTTTTCTGGTTTTCTTTCGCTTTTCACACTGCCTTACAATATTTCCCAAACTTCTCTGATGCTATCACCTGGGGAACTGTTCAAAACACAAACCAAATATACAGACTCTTCCTCAGATCCACTGACTCCAATCAATCGCCAGGGAAGGGACCTGGGAAACTTTTAGTCATTTTCTTAACTTTTTATTCAAAAATAATTTCAAATTTATAAGATGTTGCAAAATAAAAATAGTACAATGATCATCCATATACCTTTCACCCAATATTCACCTATTATTAGCATTTTTAGCCTATTTTATCACTTGTTCTGTTTATGTAACACACACACACGCACACAGGCACACGGACACAAGGACACACACACATGCACACCTTTTAAAAAAATACATCTGAGCATATATTATAGATGTCATGGTCCTTTACCCCTAAAACTCCAGTGTATATTTCCTAAGACTAGGAATATTGCAGTTATCAACTTCATAAATTGACTTTGATAAAATATTTCATCTAATCAAATATCAACATTTAAATTTTGTCAGTTGATTGAACAAATCCTTTGTAGCATTTTACCCTAACCGGTGCAGAATACAGTGCAGGATGGGATGTATTTAGCTATCAGGTCTCTTTGGCCTCCTTGAGTCTGGAACATTTTCCACAGCCATTCTTTGTCTTTTATAATAGTGACATTTGGAAAGAACACAATCCCATCCTACTTTTTAATGAGAACATCCTCCTTTTGTGTATGCCTGGTGCTTCCTCAGGACTGATATACTGCATAAATGATACTGTGTCCTGAGTGTCCCTCAGTGACACCCTATTAAAGGTGTCCCCTGGTTTCCCCACTCTATACCTTTTCTCATTTTTTAATTCATAAGCAGTCTATGAGAATACACAGTAAGACCATGCAAACATCCTGTTCTCATCAAAACTTGCCCTCAAGTTAGCATCCATGGATGATTCTTGCCCAGACCACTCTTATTTGATCCTACCATGATAGTTGTAAATTGAGGATTTTACAACTCCAGCATTCCCTCCACATTTAATAGTAAGCCTGTGGCATTCTACTGTAAGCAAAGGACCTCCCTTACCCCGTTTGTTTATCTATTTGTAATTGATATTAACTTACAAATTTCTCAATGATTTACAATTCCCTTATTATATTATCCTTATTATAATTCTATATTAAAAGTACTATTAATTCCTTACAATAAGTAATAATTACTTTATTTTGTGCTCAAGTTGTTCCAGATATGGCCAGGGGGGGTCTGATTTTTTTTAAAAAAATATAGTTTTATTGATTTCAGAGAGGAAGGGAGAGGGGGAGAGAGATAGAAACATCAATGATGAGAATCAGTGATCGGCTGCCTCCTGTACACTCCCTGCTGGGGATCGAGCCCACAACCTTGGCATGTGTCTTTTACTGAAATCCAATCCAGGACCCTTCAGCCCATAGGCCAATGCTCTATCCACTGAGCCAAACCAGCCAGGGCAGGATCTGCTTTTTAAAATTTGACTCCTGACCTTGTGACCTGCCCCATCATTCTTCTGAATATTTTCCTACTTTTTGTCATAACAAGTTGTTTTTAGCTTTGACCTATACCTATCCTGTCCCAGCCCTAGAACCAGCCATTTTTTCCAAGTAACTCTAGTTCTTCTTGGTGGGGAATTCTAGGGGCAAAGATGTGAGTACTAGGTGTGCTCATTAGATTGGAATGTCAGCTCCTTGGCCCTTTCAGTGAACAGAAGTAGGAAATATATGCAGGTATAAACAATATACACTTAAATATATAGATAATATCTATACACACCCACTTATTTTCAAATCATAAATTCACATTAATATTCCAAATTCCAAGGTTTCCCCATGGGGTTCTTTTATGTCTGCATTTTTATCTTTATTTTTTAATAGCCCCAAACCAGCTAGGGCCCAAGTAATTCATCTTATTAGGGATATTCAGGAAACATTGCTAAAGAATGCTAATGAATCTCAGTCACAAGTTCTGAGCGCTTTTCCATGAAATTCAACTGAATAAAAAACTAATTTAAAACACTGGGTGTTCTCTTTCCATTTCCCTCTTCCTATTAAATATCTTTTATTTAATTCCATTCTGAGGATAATTATCTTTAAAGATTATAAGAGCAAAATAGAAGTGACCACTTTCTTAGTCATTAGCCAATGGCCAGAGGTTTGAGTCTGACGCTTTTCTCTTTCTAGCTTCTGTTGCTATTAATGTCAACTTAAAAAACAAAAACAACACTTATTATTACTTTTGGGGACACATCTCAGTACGTTTTAGTCTGAACATTCAGGATACCTTCTTAGGAGTACTACCAATGATACGTGTGTGTGTGTGTGTGTGTGTGTGTGTGTGTGTGTGTTTGTAAATAAGGTAATCATTATAAGGTAATCATTATACTTACTTCATCTCTATAAAGTGGGCTAGTATAATACATTATGTCCATTGCACTGCTGTTCAACATATCCCTTAAACCTCGTACTTTATCAGGAGTAATGGAATCAACAGTGTCTACAAACAAACAAACAAAAAACAAACAAACTTACAGAAGATATCTGTCTTAGGGGAAAAATAAATTGTGAAAAAATTACATTCCCTGATATCACAGCTCTTTAAGTTAACATTTCAATATGCAAGACTAATTTTGGATCTAATGATCTTTTCCTTGCAAAATATAGCAAGAAAAAAAGACAAAAAGGGGAAGAGAAAGAACATTAAAGGATGAAGGCCATTGTCAAATCTACGAAGCCTGACCATTTTCTGTACTGGCGTTTGCATGATATTCAGGGGTCCCAGAGCAAAACCAGGCCATCTCTATTCCTGAAACAGGTGTTAAGGGACACAATCTCACTCTTTCTGTACCTCATTTTCTGTTTCCTTTCTTTTCTTTTTTTGGACTATGCACCTTGGGCCTGGCAATATCCATGTGGAATGCCTAGAGGCACTGGTGGCAAACCAGCAACAAATTAAAAAGTTTCTTTACACTTTACACTTATCGATTTTTAGTAAAATAAAGATCCTATGAGGAAGAGCTGTCAAATTAAAAATATGCACAAAGGCAAATCCGCAATGGGCAACTGCAGTAAACAAGATAAAGTTGGTGTAAGTAAGGAAAAAAAACCTGTCACATAAACTGTATTGCAAATATGTGCAGCCTCTGAGTTACAGCTAATTTATGGAAATTCTACCATGGGAAGACTGTTCTATTAAACGCTTAATAAGATGATTAGAGATGCAGAAAAATTTGCCTTTCTTATAGAAATACAAAGAAGTTCTATGCTCCTAATAACACTGTTTTATGTTTCCTGGTGCACACGTGTAAGATTTTCCTTAGGGTATATATATCTAGGAGTGAAAATGTTGTGTCATAGGGCACATACACATTCGACTTTACAAGATAATGTCAAACTGTCTTCCAAAGTGATTGTACCAATTTACATTCCCAACAACAGTGAATGAAAATCCTCACTGCTACACATCCTCATTGATGCACAGCCTCACCTTAAATTTTTGCTAAACTGATGGGTGTCAATGATATTTTACTGTGGTTTTAATTTGCACTTCCTTTATTACTACACTAGTGAAATACATATTATATATAATATATAAAATATTTTAAAATATTAACATATAAAACATATACATATTTTATATATATATAATCTCTTCAAGTGCTCTCTTTTTTTATTCTGGATATTAAAACTTTGGTGGCCATATCTGTTGCTCTTTTGCAAGCTCTTGTCTCAGTTTGTGGTTTGTCTGTCACTCTATGTCTACTGAGATAATTTTAATCAAGTTTACCCACGTTACTTTGTAGTTGTGTTTTCCTATCTTAAGAAGATACTTTCTTATATTTTTCTAATGTCCTGGCTTTCACATATTATATTTGATCCATTTGGAATGTGAGGTAGGGATTGTTTTTACTCCCCTCTCCCCTCAAAGAATAACCAGTTACCAAATACCATTTATGGAATAGGCCATCCTTTCACCAATGATCTATAATACCAGCTCAGTCATATATCAGGTTTGTTTTCTAAGTGCAGGTTTGTTTTCCAGAGTCTCTAGTCTAGTGCACTGGCCTATCCTTGTACCAACATGACTCCCCTCCTCCCCTCTTGTTCTGTATCTTGGCTATTTTGGAACCTTTGCTCTTCTATAATAATTTTAGAATCAGCTTGCCAAGTTTCAGGAAAAACTCTATTAGGATTTTGATTAGAAGTGCATAAAATCTAGAAATCAATTTCGGAAAATTAACAACTCTAAGATACTGAGTCATGAAATCTAAGAAAATTATCTTTATATTTATTTAACTTGTATTTAATATCTTGTAACAGTTTTTTTCATTTTTAATATCAATGTACATATTTTATTAGATTTATTTCTAGGAACTTAAAAATGATGTTTGCTATAGGTAAATACCTTTTATCATTATTTAAAAATGTATAAACAGTAAAAACAACTCTTAGGTTTTTGGTGTTGTTTATGTTGTTAATCCTCACCCAAGGATATTTTTCCATTGACTCCTTTTTTAGAGAGAGTGGAAGGGAGGGGGAGAAACAGAGAATGAAAAACATTGATGTAAGAGAGACACATTGATTGGTTGCCTCTTGCATGGATCAAGCCTGCAACAGAGGTACACGCCCTTGCCTGGAATTGAACCTGGGTCCCTTCAGTCTGCTGGACCCTAACCAAACTGGCTATGGCAAATAACTCTTAGTTTTAATGCATATATGGTTTTACATAACTATCACCATGATCAGGACACAGAACTGTTTCATCACCTTAAAAAACTCCCACATGCTGCCCTTTTTAATTCAAACCCTAGCCTTCCTGTAACCCTGGCATCCACTGATCTGTTCTCTGTCTCTATAGTTTTGCCTTTTCCAGTATGCCACATATGTGGAGCATAAGTATGCAACCTTTGAGATTGGTTTCTGTGAGACTGTGTATAATAACAAACATATATTTATAGTTTTTGTCTCCGGTTTCTGGCTCAAGATTCCTAAAATCCTTGCAATTTCCTGAGTGATAGGGGTGACAGGTATGTCTTTTATTATTCATAATAAGCCTCTTTCAATTATACTTAAGCTTATGCTAATGAGGTGACTCTTGGAAGATGGGTAGGTTGCCAGAGGAACCAACCATGTAGTTAGACAGGGTTGAAGTTTCTGTCCCATCCCCTGACCTCTGGGAAGGGGAAAGGCTGGAGATTGAGTTAATCATCAACAGCCAATTAGTTAATCACTTATGTCTACATAATGGAAGTTCCATAAAACCCCTAAACAACAGGGACTGGATAACTTCCACATAGGTGAACATATATATACAGTATATATAAATATATATATATGTATGTATGTATTTTGTTAATCCTTACCCGAGGATTTTTTCCCATTGATTTTTAGAGAGAGTGGAAGGAAGGGGGGGGGGGGGGGGAGAGAGAGAGAGAGAGAGAGAGAGAGAGAGAGACAGAGACATTGATGTGAGAGAAATACATTGATTGGTTGCCTCCTACACATTCCCCTACCAGGGGTGGAAATGGAGCCTGCAACTGATGTATGTTCCCTTGACCAGAATCAAAGCCAGGACCCTTCAGTCTGCAGGCCAATGCTCTATCCACTGAACCAAACTGACTAGGGCCATCTATATTCTCTGTAATATCCTTTAGACCAGTAAATATAAGTAAATGTTTCCTGAATTTTTTAAAGTAGATCTAGTAAATTAAACCTCAGGATGGGGTCATAGGACCCCCCAAATTATAGCAGGCATCAATCTGGGACTTGTGATTGGCATCTGAAGTGAGGGGAGTCTTGTGGAATTGTGCCTTTAATCTGTCTGCGCTATATCTGGGTAGTGTCAGAACTGAGTTAAATTGTTGGACACCCAGTTGGTGTGCACCAAGAATTAGATAATTGGTGGTAGGGGGATAATCCCCCCCCACACACACCTTTATTTGGTGTCAGAAATATTGAGAATGGAGAGTGGTGTTTTTCCTTTAGCTTCTTTTACTCAGAATAATGGCACCTTCAAGATTCTATCCTAATAATTTAAATCTAACAAAAAATTACAAACTCTTGAGGATTTTATTAAACATGAATTCATCTATGTTGTCTACATTCCTGACTAGCCCAAGAAACTTATCTGAATGAGTGGGAAAAGCACAAAAGATAGTATTTTTATACTACAATTTTTATATATGAGCTATTGCTGCTATGAAGTCTTCTTTGATCACTAGCATTTTTGTTTTACCGTTATTGCAACTTTTGATGCCATTTTGGTCTATTAGGTATAACTGACATTCCTGCCTATGAGACAGAATCTGACTTGAAAATCATCCAGGGAGGCAGTTTAGCAATGTGAATGAATAAGGGCTCTGGTATCAAGCAAAGCTAGACTCTGCTTATTATTCTTTGGTAAATTCACCTTTTACTGAGTTTCAGTTTCCTTAAGAGTAAAATAGAGAAAATAATGTAGTATTTCACATATTTATGAGAAAATTGAGATACTCCATGAAAAATGAATTGCAAAGTGCCAGGCACAGCAAAGGCTCCACAAATGGCAGCTGCTATTGTATCTAGTACAATTCTCTCATTTTCCAGGTTATGTAAATAACCTAAACATTCTATTTTAATGGTTTTCATACTGAAAGAATACATTTTGTTTAAAATATGCATATTTTGGCTAACAATTCTTCAAGGAAGGAAATAAACATGATTTACTTAAATATTACCAGCCCAGGGAATGTAAGAAAAACAACAAAAGAAAACAAAAAACCTGATATTTTACCTTCCAAATATAGGGAAGGAAAATTATTAAGAAGAGAATGTAAGCTAATAAAGAATTGTACCCTAGCTGATTTGGCTCAGTGGATAGAGTGTCGGCCCCATGGACTGAAGGGTCCTGGGTTCGATTCCAGTCAAGGGCACATGCCCAGGTGGCGGGCTTGATCCCCAGTAGGGGGCATTAAGGAGGCAGCCGATCAATGATTCTTTCTCATCTTTGATGTTTCTATCACTGCCTTCCTCTCTGAAATCATTAATAAAAAAAAGAATTGTGACAATATGTTTTAAGAGTATTGACAAGTTAGGTGGCTCCATTGTATAATGGATAGTGCACTGGACTTCTAACTACGTGCCTGACTCGGGCCTGGGATGGACCTGCAAGCCAGGTAAATGCCCTTGACCAGGAATCGAACTTTGACCCTTTGGTGTGTGGGCCAGTGCTCTATCACTGAGCCATCCTGAACAGGGCCAAATCATGTAACTTTTCAACATAATGTACCTCCATCAAGAGTAAGTTTTGACCGCCACTCAACAGGCAGAAATTCAACATGTGTTGCATGGTTGGAAAAATGTCTTTCTTCTATTTTTCTAGCAGCCTCTCTCATCCTAAAAAAAAAACAAAATAAAAACAAAACAAAACTTTATCAGAGTAACTTCACAAATGTAATTATATGGTATAAAATGTTTTTAATTATAACACACTTGCTTATAACCACAACCAATTCTGTTTTAATTACCCTATACTATACAATAGTTCATTTCAAAGCATATTCTGTCCATGCCAAATGTTCCTTCATATTTGGTCCTGTCCAAACTGTCCATGCGTAAGACAATGCTGCTGGCCTTAAACAGCCCATAGCACTTATTTGTGCTTTTGGTTTACAGGATTAACACATAAAAGATATACCAGGTTTTATTAATTCAACTAGAGGCCTGGTGCAAAATTTTGTGCACCAGTGGGGTCCCTCGGCCTGGCCTGGGGGTTTGGGCTGAAACCGGCTCTCCGACATCGCCCCAGGGGTCCCAGATTGTGAGAGGGCACAGGCCAGGCCAAGGGACCCCACTGGTGCACGGGGCCGGGGAGGGACGTAGGAGATTGGCCAGCCAGGGAGGGGCCGCGGGAGGGCTCCAGGGCATGTCCGGCCTGTCTCACTCAGTCCTGATCAGCTGGACCCCGCAGCAAGCTCACCTACCAGTTGGAACATCTTCTCCCTGGTGGTCAGTGCATGTCATAGCAACTGGTTGACCGGTCAACTGTCTGCCCCCTGGTGGTCAGCGCACGTCATAGCAAGTGGTTGAGCGGCCTTAGCATATCATTAGCATATTACGCTTTGACTGGCTGAACAGCCACCCAGATGACTGGACACTTAGCATATTAGGCTTTTATTATATAGGATAATAGCATGTGGCTATATGCCAACAATACCTCTCCTTGCCTAGGTAGCCTAGATGGGTTGGCATGGACCAAAAGTCTCTATGGGCGCTTTGGACAGGAGCAAATATCAAGAACCTTTGGGTGTGGACCAAATGTCTGCTAATCTTGTGGATAGCACCATCACAATCAAGATACAGAATAAATCTTTCGCCCCCTTCCCCATCTACTGGTAAGTGCTTGGTCCTTTGGAAGCACTAAGGCCTAGTTGGGGTGAGGCCCTCACTTCATCTGGGGACCAGCACCGCTCCTGGCTGTGCTCACCCAGCACTTGCTCGCTCCATGGCCTGGTCTGAGCTCGCCTGCATGTGAAGTGCCAGTAATGGAGGATAAGATCAGTGCCCTCATTAAAACAGCTGGTGTAAATGTTGACCCTTTCTGGCCAGGTTTGTTTGCAAAGGCTCTGACTAATGTCAACACTGGGAACCTCCTTTGCAGCAAGGGCTGGTGGACCTGCCCCAGCAGTAGTGCTGCACCAGGAGGTCCTACCCCCTCCACCACTGCTGCCCCACTGAAGAGAAGAAAGTGGAAGCAAAGAAAGAAGAATCTGAGGAGTCTGACATGGGCTTTGGTCTTTTTGACTAAACAAACCTCTTTTGTAACACATTCAATAAAAAGCTGAACTCTGGTGGTCAGTGTGCATCATAGTGATCAGTTCTGCCATTTGGTTAATTTGCATATTACCCTTTTATTATATAGGATGGTGCCATAAATATATTTTGAAAAATTTTTTTTAAATGTTTTTATTGATTTTAGAGAGGAAGGGGGGGGGGAAGAGAGAGAGATAGAGAGAAACATCAATGATTGCCTCCTGCAGACCAGGGACTGAATACACAATCTGAGCATGTGCCCTGACTGGGGACTCTAACCAGTGACTTTTTGGTGCAAGGGACGATGTTCACCCAACCAAGCCACACTGGCCAGGGCTGCTATGAATATTCTTTAACAAGTTTTTGTGTAGATGTTTTCAATTCACTTGGGTATAAACCTAAGAGTGGAATTGTGATGCTAACTCTACATTTAACTTTTGAGAAAGTGTCAAACCATTTTTGAAAGCAGCAGTACTATTTTATAATCCCATCAGTAACATGAAGGTTTTAATTTTTCACAATCCTACTAACACCTATTATTTTCTTTTTGATGAGTCATCCTAGTGAGTATGAAGTGGTATATCTCTTTGTGATCTTGAACTACATCTCCTTATTGACTAATGATATTGAGCATCTTTTTAGTGTGTTTATGAGCCATTTGTATAATTATTTGGACAAATGTTTATTCAAATCTTTTTTTTAAAAATATATTTTATTGATTTTTACAGAGAGGAAGGGAGAGGGATAGAGAATCAGAAACACCAATGAGAGAGAAACATTGATCAGCTGCCTCCTGCACACCCCCCACTGGGGATGTGCCGGCAACCAAGGTACATGCCCTTGACTGGAATCGAACCAAGGACCCTTCAGTCCGCAGGCCAACGCTCTATCCACTGAGCCAAACCGGTTAGGGCTATTCAAATCTTTTACCTATTTAAAAAATTGGGCCGTTTCTTTTACTGTTGAATTGTGAGAGTTCTTCAAATATCCTAGATGCTAGAGACCCTTATCAGATAATTTGCAAATATTTTCTCCCATTTTGTGGGTGGTCTTCATTTTTTTAATAGTGTCTGTTAAAGAACAAAAGTTTTAAATTTTGACAAATCCAATTTATGTATTTTTTTCTTTTATGGCTTCTGGTTTTGATGTCATGTACCATTTGTTAAAAGGCCATTCTTTTCTCATTAAATCATTTTGGCACTCTTGTAAAAAATCAATGGAACTCTCAATTCTACTCCATTGTTCTATCTTTATATCAGCCAGAACCACAATGTCTTGATTACTATAGCTTTGTAGCAAGTTACAAAATTGGGAAGTATAAGTTCTCCATCTTTGTTCTTTCTCAAGATAGTGTGGGCTGTTCTGGGTCCCTTGCCTTTCTATGTGGATTTCAGAATCAGCTTGTCAATTTGTGGAAAAAAGACTGGTGGGATATGGATGACATTGTAGGTCAATTTGAGAAGTACTACCATCTTAACAACACTAAATCTCTAAGGTACAATCATGGGTTGCCATTTGCATTTATTTAGGTCTTTTTTAATTTCTTTCAATGACATATTATAGTTTTCAGTGCAAATCTTCCTTCTTTTGTATAATTATTCCTAAGTAATTTATTCTTGTTGATGCTATTGTAAGTGGAAATGCTTTCTTAATTTAATTTTCAGGTTGTTCATTGCTAGTATATAAATACAATTGATTTTTGTATGTTGATCTTGTATCCTGTAACTTTGCTGAGTTCATTTATGAGCCTTTATAATTGTACTAGAGGCCCGGTGCACAAAAATTTGTGCACTGGGGGGGGGGGGGGGGGCCCTCAGCCCGGGCTTGGCCCTCTCCCAGTCTGGGAACCCCTAAGAAAAAAAGACCTGCTGGGTTAAGCCTGCTCCTGGGTGGGAGAAGGGAGGGCCCATCCCTAAGTGCAGCCCCTGGGCGGGCTTAAAACAAGGCTTAATTGGGAGTTGGGGCGCCGCCCCCTGTTATGGACAGAAGAAGGGGGAACAAGAGGGTGCAATGGCACCCCTAATCACGCTCA